TTAATACATGGTAGCGGGTAGCGGCTCAAAAAATCGCACAAAGTGTTATGCTTCCCTGCTCGATATTCGATTTTGATGTCATAGGACTGGATAGCGATCTGGTACTTTGCTAATCGACCTACTAGATCTGATCGGTGCATTAATGATTTTAGAGGGGCGTGATCCGTTACTAGAGTAATTCGTGCGTTCGCCACGTATGGGTAGAAGTGCTTGAGCGCGAATACGATTGCTAAAGCCTCTAATTCGATGACAGCATAATTTTTCTCGTGCTTGTTCAATGAGCGGCTACAATACGCTATGGGGTGTTCTCCTTGCGTTTTTGGATTAATTTGCAAAAGGCAAGCACCTAACCCAATTGTTGACGCATCTGTATGTATTATGTATGGTTGGCCAAAAATAGGTGCTACCAAGAGAGGTGCTTGAACGAGAGCCTGTTTTAACGAAAGAAAGGCGCGTTCGTGGGCTTCGGTCTACCTAAATGGTGTGTCCTTCATTAACAGATTGTTGAGTGGCGAAGCAGTGATGGAAAAACGTGGCAGATAGCGGCGAAAATAGGAGGCGGCTCCTAAAAATGATTTCACCGCTTTAACGTTTGTAGGACTGGGAAGGTTTGCAATGCTTGCTACCTTGTCCGGGTTGGGACGAGTGCCATTTTTGCTAATAAGAACTCCTAGGTATTTCACTTCGGTTTGGAAGAATGAGCATTTTTCCGGAGTTAGCTTCATTCCAAACGCTTTTATACGTTGAAATACTTCTTCTAGGTCGACCAGATGTTGGCTAATTGATTGACTTGCAATTATGATATCGTCAATGTAGGCAAAACAACATGCTCGTAGTTCCCGAATTAGACTATTGGCTACTCGCTGAAATGTGGCTGGGGCTCCTTTTAAGCCTTGTGCCATAACTGTAAAATGATATAGTCCTAGAAAGGAGGAAAAAGCTGTGCGCTCTTTATGTTTTTCTGTTAAAGGTATTTGAAAGAAACCGCTTTTGAAATCGAGTACCGTATATATTTCTTTCCCGTTGACAAGATCTAGAATATCTTGCATGTGGGGAATGCAATAGGTTTCGGTTTCAGTGATGCGTTAATCTGACGGTAATCTACCGTAAATCGCCATTGGTCTTTATTTGGACCTTTCTTAACCAATACTATTGGGGACGCGAACTTGCTAGTGCTAGGCTCAATGATGTTTATTCGTAACATTTCTTTGATTTGACGCTCTATTTCTTGTCGTTTTTCTAATGGAACTCGGTAGGGTCGTTGTTTTGGAATCTTTGGATGTGGTATGAAGTTAATGCTATGAGTAATGGGTCCTTTGTAGCGACCGAGGTCTCCGTCCTTACCTACGAAACAGTCTTCATAGTTTTCTAGTAGGGATTGGAATTTCTTCAACTGCGTAGTAGTTAGAATCGAAATATTGAGTTGAATAACGATCGTGAATTGGTTTGAGATTTTCGCTGCTTGGAAAGTGGGGAAGTTCTTTTGCAAAATTGGTTTCGGAGGGAATGTGCTCATGCCGTTGGTGAGATGATAAAATCTCCGTCGAGCTTTGCTCGCTGTTCATGAAAATATTGGTTTCCATTGCATGTTTGCTCCGACGAAAGTTGCTGTTGCCATATTTATGTTTTTGCGAAGTGTTATTGAATTTGAGCCTGCGTTGAAGATCCTTAAGATGACCCTGCCCTGAGTGTTTGGACACGAAAGCGTCTTTCCGATTTGGACACCCAGTGGTAGAGTTTTGTGGTCGTCTGATGTGAAGAGTTCCCAATCTTTCGGAAATGAGGTATTAGTGGTGCCCACGACTGCCGTATCCGAAAATGGTGGAAATGTGGTATCCTCGATTAGATGGACTGGAAGTTGGAGATAGTTGTAGTTGTTGACACCAGTGGTGACGAAAGGGATTGACATTTCATCTAACGAAATGGTGCTAGCTTGATAATCTATCGATAGTTTGCAAGCCAATTGAGGAAGAACGTCATTACCTATGATAAATGAAGAAGAACACTGAGCATCTGGAGCAACGTAGCATAATATTCTGATGGTTTTGTCTCCTATAGTTAGGTTAGGGGTGAATTGGCCAAGGAGGTGCATCGGAGTACCGTTTGCCGTAATACCTGTTGTATTAGTTGATCGGAGAAGATGTGCATTAATTTTGCGAGCAACGGTTTCGGAAATGAGTGTAATAGCCGATCCAGTGTCTAGGAGGGCCACAACATGTGAGTTGTTAAGATTGGTTGAGATGTACATCAATGGGCTGGAATTCGCATTATGAATGCATGAGACGTTTGGAAGAAAATTCAGAAATTGCCTAGTCCGTGATGGTTCTGGTATTGGCCGAAATGGTGGCACCGTATGAAGTGAGATGTCCGAAAATGCTGGTATGTTAAGCGTAGTGTGTGGTTCATTTGTTCGCCTAGTTCTTCTTACAGCTGCTCGTGGACGCTCGTTGGCTCCGTTATTTGGAGGACTCTCTTCCGATGTATCCTCCTTGGGAGGGGATTTGCGTCTACAAGTGTTGTTTACGATGAACAAGGCGGCATTGGCGAGCATTCGGAAGATAATGTTAAAGAGAATTCGGATTAGTGATGATTGGAAGTAGAGGACTATTATTACGATAAGTACAAGAAGACAGAATGACGTGATAACGAGAGTTCTAACTAGCTTATGCATACCCAAGGACTGAAGTATGCCTTTTTTCTGTGACTGAAGAAAGTGTGCTGCATTGGATTCCAAGAATCCGGCAGAGTTGGTAATCTCGCTATCAAGTTGCTCTGATATAGATTCAAGATTGCGTGTGGAGGTTTTCGTTTGTGTTGCAAATGTGTTATCAATTGAATCGAGATGGTTTTTGATAAGGTATATATCTGTTGAAATTTTGGCTAAGTCGGAATGGAAAATTGGTGGTGCATTAAAAATAAAGTCTTGCCGTGCTACACCATTAGGTAAGTTTCAAGTGGATGTTGGTCACTTGAGCATAGCCCGCAGGTGATTTGTAATGATTGTTTCCATCATTATAAATGCCAAATGGTAAATGTCCACAGTCTGCTCGTGGACTAGCTTAACAAGATCACGTGTACCTGGTTGTATGAAGTAAAAGGTTTTCCCAGATCTGACTGGAGTGAAAATATAACAAGTTCCATCTATATTATGATCGAAATAATTTCGTCTATTATAATTTCTTTGCATTTGGAGACCATTAAGTACGTCTCCTGCCGCTAAGCAAATATATCTTCTCGATTAAAAGTATTCGAGCTGCACTAGTTGGGTTAATTTGAGCTATGCTTCTAACTGATTGGATTTTGAAGTTCATTAACGAACAAATTGCGGTCTAATAGGAAGTTAAAATCATCTTGTATAATATCTTCCATTTTAGTTTCAAAAATTGCATCTTAGTATTAAGTTCTGCGTGACGATTATCCTGACGCTGTTCATGACTAAGGTCAGGGTCATTGTTCATGACTGTAAAGTCGGGTTCTGAATTAATTGCGATATGGTGGGCTATTTTCGCAGAAATGTTAGGTTTGATTTTGTTGAGAGATGCTCCCTGTACTTCTAAAACAGATGCTCGAGGGCTCTGTATCATGGCCGTAAGAGCCTTATAATTGTTTGGGTTTATTTCTTGTTGGCGTTTGCGGCGAGGTCTAATTCCAAACTTGAATTGCTTAACATCCAGAGACTTCTTTTGTAGTGATTGGATGAATTTTTGAAGGGTACCTAGCGTTTTTCTTATTGGTTTTGGTCGCGATACCCTTGTTAGCGTTTCCTCAGTGCTACGTTTTAGCGTTGGGTTGTTTGAATCTCCTTCTAATTCGATATCGTGTGTGTTCCACTGGGTTTGCTCTATTTTGTTGAGGGAGTCAACAAAATGTACTATTTGCGAGTTATAGAAGTGCTTACGATTGATTGTTTCCACAACTTCTGGATGCTCTGAGAACAAAGTGCGGGGATTATATTGGGTTACTTCTGGTAGGACAATGAAAACTCCATTGTCCATTGGAATTGCGTATTTCTCTAGGCACCAAGTATGTAGCTGGGAGGGTGAAAATGTTATGTTTTTATACGTAAATGCAGATTGGATGTTATTCAACACTATGTGGTGCGGTGTTACATAGGCTACTCCTTCAACTGCTTTAGTGAATCGGCAGAGTGGGGTATCCATTGCTGGACGGTTCCATATAACGGTGCCGTGTGGACAGAAAACATTGGTTTTTGCCAATGTTGCAATGGTGCCATATTTCCAAATTGGCCTATTAAATGTTCTCCATCGAAAGTGGCAATTTCTCCTTGCTCATAATATAAGTTAGTAGTGAGTGTGCATTTTTCTCCGAAAAACCATGGATATGAGTAGTGGACTTGATTTTCCGAGCCAAAAACATTATGTGAAAGTGGTTCAAGAGGGATTCCCATGTATTTCTTGGTTTGTGTTATTGTTTTGCAAGGGCAGGGATCAATGGGAGTCATTGATTCCTCATCACTATTGACTGAGAAAGAAACGTGCAAATATGAGGAAGCACATATTTTTCTAGTTTTGTTGAAACAATGATATGCCGGTATCAAAAGGGGTTCGGTGCGCTCTACGTAAAGATTGGCCGAGGTAAGTAATATGTCGGATGTATTGGGAGAGGTTGTGCATTGTAAAGGGTCAGGATAGGCGATAGGCCATCCAGATTTTCCTGCGGCACAAAGTTGATACTGAAGAGAGTATGCGGTTATTGGAGTTATATATAAGCTAATTATGGCTAAAACAAAAAGAGAAGTAATTGGGCTCAAAAGTGGGTTACGGTTACATTTAGTTATTGTATTTACTTGGCGTTGTGGAGAAAATGGACGTCTTTGATTCCTGTTGAACGGAGGTGCACCATTGGATTTGTTACCTGGCCTATAGAAATAGGGTGTTTGGTCTCTCATACGATTTTGCTGTACGTTAGGTTGAAACTTAACAGCACTACGATTTGGAGACTGAAAACGTGGGCGGAATTGGTTTCGCCTCGGGTAACTATTGAAATTATTATATCCACCTCTTGGTTGATACTTGGAATTATATGGCCGGCTTGAGTTACGGAAGCTAAGGGCGTTAGGTTTGGGTGTGTATGCAGAATTAGTGGTTACAAAGTTTCTCGTTGCGGATATCTGATCCAAGACTCTATCCATTTTTGCAATTAGTACCCCTTCCCCTAAAGAATCGGGATCAGTCTTAGTCAGATTCCACATTCTTTCAGCATCTTGCACAAGTTTATCGTAGTTAGTAGGTAGAGGGCCTAAAAGCTTCAGTCGCTGTTTTATTGGGTTAGCGAGAGCATTGGTAAATACCATGGATTGCAAAAATTTACGTTCGGCCGATGACTGAGTATTGGGATATGCGTCAAGTATCTCTTTACGCACTCTATTTGAAGAAAACTACTGGGATTCTCCTGGTTCCATGCGCATATTCATAATTTTTCCCTAGCCATATCTAGAAAGTGGTCAGTGGAAAAATGTTGCTGCAAGTTTGGTAGTTGCTATTTGCCAATCGCGTTTCTCTGCGGCAGAAAAGTTTTCAAAAACTGCTTTCGCGGTCCCTTCCAAGGTGGGCTGGGAGAAGGAGAACCGATTTATTTTCTGTTAGGCCCATTATACTAGCTATTTCCCGAAATTTCTCAAGAAATTGCATGAATCCGCCTGCCCCTCTCTCGCCAGAAAAGGTGGGAAGTTTATTGGCATACGATGCCAGACAGAGCTTGTCGAATGCGCTGTCCAAACGGTTGGTAATATCGTCTCTATCCATGTCGATGTCTGGTTGTGGTTGTGCCGGGACTACGGGATACTGTAATTCAATGATGGGTGGTGGTTGGGGGTCTTCCGGTTGGACTTGGATGTTATTGGGTGCTGGTTCGGGGTGTTCTGGTTGGGGGTGTATGTTATCACTTAGCAAAGAAGAGATTGACGAGGACGAACTAGAGCTAAGAGGAGGGTCTGAGTGTAAATTGGGAGGGACTGACTTTGATCGAAGCTGGTTTGGGTTGGATGTACCGCCGTTCTGTGTTCCAGCTGGTACCGAAGAGTCTCTAGGTTTTCCTATGACCTTGGATTTCTTTTTGGTTGGAGAGTTAGGTAGACGAACTCTTGTTCGTCGCTTGACTGTTTTTCTACCGGGGATGGTACACTGATAAGGTCCTTCGTCCGAGCTAGTTAATGAGTCAGAATAAAAATTGCTCATAGAATTTCAATAGGGGGCCGTTTTTAAGTCGTTAATTGGTTTGCTATTTTGTGGAAATCGGAGGTTTTTAAGATGTTGGTATATATTTACCAGTTTAGCTCCGCCCGCTACCGCGCGCATTGATAGAACTGACAATCGATGAAGCTTTAGGTTTCATCCGCTAAATTATAGCTGCTT